GCAGCTCCTGTCACTGTGTCACTCAGAGCACAGTAGTACACGGCCGAGTCTGACTCTTGGACTGAGGCTTTCTCCAAGTGGAAGGAAGTTTGTGCTCTGTGGTACGTGGCTTCAAAACCTTTCTTGAGTACCTTCTCCTTGTCCCTTGAGGCTTTCAGGAGGAGCTGTGGACCTTCTCCGGGGTACTGGACGTACCAGAAAAAAGTGGGGTACCCCGCAGCTGGATAATTGCAGTTCATAGTCAGGGCAGCTGATTCTGAAAGGGTCACTGGGCCTTCCGTCTGCATCACTGAGTCTCCACGGGTTCGTCCTGAGCAAGAATAAAACAGTTCATGTCCCCTTGGGCATATAGCTCTCAGATAAAATTATGGTTAAAATTTTTCCTAATGAAGCAGAAGAAACAATACACATTGTTAGAGGCATCTTACTTACCAAGCATTAAGAGCACCACAGTCACTAAGCCTGGAGAAGAGTTCATCTCTACAATGTTGCCTGAATAACGTGCCTGACAACTACCCTGAAGAAATGTTGAAGTCACAGTGAAGGTTTAGATAAAGGGAAGCCTGCATTTCACACAGGAAGTGTGTTTGTAGTAGGAAACTCCTCCCCCTGGTGGACGAGGACAGAAATGGGAAGCATGTTTCCTTATCTCCTGGAACTCACAAGTATGTTCTTATCCCTGTCTTTATTTATGAGGCACATGTCAGTCTTCAGGTGACACGGCAACCTGATCAATAACTGTTGTAACTTGTCAGGTCTGTTTTTTTCTTAGAACACTACATGACATGGAAGTTCTTTAACAGAGCATCTAAGGGTATTTCTGTAGCTGAGAAGATATCAGTTTTCTTAAGCACTTCAATATAGCAATTTATATTCTCACGTATCAATTGTACACTAGCATGTAATCCACTGAATGTCAAAAAACGGTCTGAGGTTGATTAAAGAGGAAGTAATAAGAATCCAAGTCATTACTGAGTGATTTTGTTTTTCAGCATTGTACCCCAACTTATAGAACAGTAGTGACTGACATTTATTGCATGTTCAGTAAATATTTGCTATACTGAACAAAAATAATGAAGGAGGGGTCTTTCACTGAGGACTCACTACTACTTGAAATAAAATATTTTCCAAGTTCTAAAATAATATCATTTGTAAGACATGCTGTCTTTTTAATAAAAAGCTTTTGATGGGAAAAAAAAAGTCACACTATCTTATCAATAGTT